TGTGTAAATTGTTTGGGGCTCCTAGGTGCCCAGGCACCTAAGCACCATGCAATTAATGCCCCATGCGATTGATCTCTTTTCAAATATTGGTGTATGACATACCTGTCATAAAATGCACGTCATTATAATAGCATACCATTTATTTCCATATATGATATGACATCCTAGTTTTTTTTAAATCTTTATTTATAATATATGCACTATAATACCTTGCGTACAATTTCTTGCTTTTACCTTGTATTCTTTATCGGAATACAATACTCATAAACATATGATGCATCCATCTTTTTTTGCTATTAAAAATAAAAAATACTTTCATGTATATAGTAAGAATTTGTCCTATGTACCCATATACCTAACACAAAGAATTTATACACATATAATAATACATCTATGACAGAAACCTAGAAATGATATAGCCATGCACGATAAGCGAATTGATATACCTAAGAAATATACATCCCAAGCATAACATACCCCAAGATGATAATTAATGTATGATGATAACCAATATATTTTTTAGTGCGTACTCAAGCCCTCACAAAAAAATGTATATACAAAAATATGCATACTCCGACATGAAATCTTTTTTACATATCATGTACATACCCCGATGTGAAATTTATATGTACGTACCCTGACTTGCCCCGCAAAAAAAAAATACCCTGACTTGAAATTTATGTGTACATACCCATAACTGTACATACCTTGTCTTAAAATTTACGTGTACATATTCGTAAACATATATACCCAACGTGAAATTTATGTGTAGATACTCATAAATATACTTATCCCTGTGTGAAATTTATATGCACATACACACAAATGTACATAACCTAAAATAAAATTTATGCAATTGCAAAAAAAACATAAAATTTATGCGTACATACCTTGACATTATTTTTTTCTCTACATACCCATAAAAATGTACATACCCCAACGTTAAATTAATGTATACATGCACCGGCATATACTTATGTGTACATACTTTGATGAGAAATATATGTGTATATACCTGAACGTAAAATTTGGAAGATTTAATCCATTTATGACTATCTATTAATTTAAACATAAATGGTTGTCATGCATGCATGCACGCTTACCATACTTATTAATTACTGTCATATATAATCACATTAATTATTTACCATATCAACACAAACGTCATACATCAACTCATCATCTAACGGCTACGAGGTAAGGTGCCCTATATATATATATATATATATATATATATATATATATATATATATATATATATATATGGAAAATCCATCCTACCATCCGGTAGTAGTTACCCCACATGTCTCATATACTACCATGTGGTACTATATATACTATTTTATTATTTTAAATATGTTCATATACTATATCTAAGATATTTCAAAGCAAGTTACATGAAAAAATTGCATATGAGCTCATAGTTTTTGTTATATTTGTAAAATACGTATATTTTTGTACGTAAAAATGAGCATACTCAAAAAATTATACATACTATCTAAAAATTAGTATATATACTACCTAATTATTGTTATATACTACATACTACACGTACATACTCTCGGTTCCGACAGATACTACATACAACATACAAAACGCAAGTGGTGGTAACTATCACTGCTTGTAAGAAACATTTGTCCTATATGCATAACGTGTACAATATGTAGTATCATAAAATACCAGCAAACGAAAAAAAATTAAATGGAAAACACAAAATTAAATGAAAAAGAAATCATAAACCCAAAACTCCCCAACCTTTTAATACCGATTGGTGACACCAACCGGTACTAAATGGCTCCCTGCCCCCGAAGCTGGCTCGTGCCACGTGGTTGCCCTTTAGCACCGATTCGTGCTGAACCGGTACTAAAGGGGGGGGAGCCTTTAGTGCCTACACTTTAGCGCCGGTTACGAAACCGGCACTAAAAGGCCTTACGAACCGGTGCTATTGCCCGGTTCTGCACTAGTGGGTGGTGCTGCCATGCTCGTCTTACCAAACCAAGATCAGTGAAGGCTACATCCCCGTGAATTGAATTGAGGAAAGTGGGTGGCATTTGTTCTTTTCCTTGTTCTTGCTACTATTTTAAATCAAAACACAAGCAGATTGGTGTTTGACCAACGGCTGGCCTTTCCCAAGTGCTCTTTACTAGGTCTGCGAAAATCATCTCGGTGCAGCCAACCCAATGCGTATTTAAATGGACATCGTGCAGGTGGACCGTATGCAGAATTTGGAGTTGAGAACAATTGGTGCATGAACCGGTAGCGACTCAATCTGCTCTAGCGTGTGCGTCGTTACCATGGGGGGTTTAGATTTCCAGTCGATATCCATCAAAACACAAAAGTGTCCCGGACGGGCAGTTGAGGTTTGGCGGTGTGGTCGGCAAACGCGGCGGCCGGCGGGGGGCAGTGGAGTAACGGGGCTGCCAGGGAGTGTGACCTTGTCACACCAGTAGACTCCCTTGCGATCGAGGGTTTCGAGTTAACGAGTGCAGCAGTCGATTGAGTGTATTCTACGAGGGTGTCTAAGTTCTTGGTCTAAGTGAGTGCGCTTTGCTTTGTTCCGGGCAGCTTCGCCTAGGCATCGAGGGCAGGGGTGGCCGCTCCGCTGCCGCCACCGGCGCCGGGAACAACATCACCATCACGCATCTGATCGCTTTCAGCGACGCCGTTGAATATGTGAGTGTGGCATCGCCGGCTTGAGTCCATCAGTATTATCTATTACTCGTGTGTGCTACTCTATTTGGTAGCCAAGTTACCTCAATAACTAGTACTTCCTCCGATCCAAAATAAGTGCCGCAAGTTTGAAAGATGAAACTACGTCTTATCATTAATCTAGTGATATATGTTTGACATTATAGATGTAAATATTTTGCTCCATAATCTTGGTCAAAGTTTGTGATGTTTGATTTTTTTTTAAAACTATATGCACTACATTATGAAACGGAGGAAGTGGTAGTTGGGTAATTGTTGAGATTTTGTGCTAAAAAATGCTATTGGGGTGATGGTGATCATGGACTTGGATCGTATGCACGGTTCCAGCTTCAACCATCTTTGAGAGGTTCAGTGGTGAACATTCTAAAGATGGTACTTATTCATGTCTGCAGTGTAGCCAAGTGCAAGCAATTGAGCATCAACATTTTTTGCGTCTAGGCTTGCTAGTTATGCTATAAGTATGCCAGCTAATGGACCATGTTTTCAACATTGCTCTTGTGTTCCCTGCACTACGTTTCTCCCTTTCCACTTCCAGAACTATTGTGTCGGTGAGAAAAATGATGGACAGATATACTGTTGTTTGCCAGCATTCTGTTCATTGACAAAGAACTTTTACACTATATGCATCATGTATATAAGACAACGAAAACACAGCCCCATAAACCGAGCAAGTGGGCAAAGGCTACAGGCGATTCCATAACATAGGTTTCTCATAACAAATTAAACAGCAGCCATACAGCAAAAGAAACTACGAAGGCTTGCCGGGCGGTGTTCTCACAACACACTAACGATGCTGTACAGCAAATAATTTACACCCCAATCAGCAGTACAATATAGCTTTAGGTTTGCACGATGGTGTTGTAAAACAGAATCGCCAATACAGGTTGCGGGTACTTAAATACTCTAGCTAGTAAAGGAAGCAAGTACTATGTATTCACAATTGCAGGTCTTCTCATCAGATTGATCATCCGTTCCATGATCTTTTCCAAACAATTTACAATTATTTGGGCTAGTAGTTGCCACTTGTACTTTCAATCAGAGATCTTGCTCGCCTCTGTTCCACCGATACCCATAAGATATGTGTCACTCCTCTTCCATTTGGACCGTAAAAACATCAGGAGGTAACTAGCAGCAAACTTGCAAGGTTCAACCTGATGACCAATTGCAGAATAACAACATAAGCAGCTTAGCAGTAGCATCTTGTATAGTACAGTGTATTGGATCTCCACATCTTCTCCCCTGTGGAATAAATATGTACAAAGATTTAACAGATTATTATGAAAACACAAATTTCTTCCTGCTAAGTATGGCAAATTCAAATTACAGAAAACAATATAACTTCTATATGCACAACATAAATAGGAATGCACCTAACAAGTAACAACACAACATTGAACTGGAATCTAAGGACTGTTCCATCTCTTGTCGGTACCAATCATCCGCCAAGTAAAACAAGATTTGAGTGGTACCTGTATAACGTCAGAGAGGAGATAATCAACCCGAAACTTGTAAGGAAGTTGAACGTGATGTGCAAGTGCAGCATAACAGCATACGCAGCTTTGTAGTATGTAGTAGCATCTTGTGTGGGGTAGTCCATGGCATTTTCCCCAAGCTGAGTACACGGCATACAACAAAGCAGAGGAGTTTATTTCATCAGCAAATGCATTGAAAAACGCTTCGAGTATCCAGTCCACACTATTTTCTCCATGGCATATATGTTGAATAAGGAAGGGTTAAGATTTACCTTATCCCAGTTTGATCCTTGTCAGTTGCCTTCAACAATAGGAGTAGTTTCTGAACCAATATATAAGGCATATATAAGGCAGCGCACCATGAGTTGTATCTTCAGCAAGCATCTTCGTCATGAGAAGTGCAAGAGAAGAAATCATCTCCATCATCTTCTACATTGGAGCCTTGGATGTGGTGGAAAATAAAAACTACATAGACATGAATTGTAACTTGTGAGTGTATATGTATAGTAGTACCAATTATCATCTCAATCGGTTGATAGCTACTTATATGCTAGTACTACTAGCTGAACGGAATGCAAGTTAATTAGCTGACCTGATTGCGCCCGTCGTCGCCATGGCCACCACTTGCGATTATGAGCGGATCTCTCCTGCTGTTGCTGCCTTCGAAAATTAGCCAATCCTTCCTCCCGCGCTTCATATACAGAGGGGTCTATGTTATGCATTCTCCAGACCTCTGTTAGTCGCAGCAGGGGATGGTTGGGGTGTGCCTCCACTTCCCCTTGCAGCACACCAAGCTTCGCCACTCTAGCCCCCAAACCAAGTGAAATCTCCTTGACCCTTGGGAGATGTTTGATGCCAATAAATTCCACACAGCCGCCGCCGCCGCCGCGGAATTGTATCTTTTCCAGCTGGTGCGAGGTGTCCTCTTCGAATATCACCTCTCTCACTCGATCCGGGTAAAAAATATCTAGTTCCCTGAGATTTGGGAATGCTCTTGCTCCAAAGACTAGACTCTTCCCAACATAAGCATTCTGACGAAGACGAAGGAGCATAAGGTTGGGCAGTGTGCCTAATAGTTCCATGGTTTTATCACCTTTCAGCTCGCTATGCCCTAGATAAATCTTCACTAAATGTATCAAACTTCCAATCCAGTCTGGCATTTCTTCAAGACGTCCAACCAGCTTGAGGCTCCTCATGGATAGGGGAGGAGAAGAAACAGAATGCAGCCACTCGAGAGAGCCATTTTGGCTCGCATTCACCTTAAGAGAGCATAGGGAAGTGAACTTCTCGATAGCTGCACAAAGTAACTTGCATTTTTGCTCGGTAGCCTCTTTCGTTACCACCCCAAGTTTTTTTAGCTGCACAAGCTCACCTAGCTCTTTAATTGCATTGGCATCACTCCGTTTGATGTCCACAACCTCTAGTGTTTGTAACTCTTGTAACTTGCTAATCCCTCTCGGCACACTTACACCTTTGTATATTGACCAATGCCTAAAGCAAGGCATGCGTGGCTTCAAAGCTTTTTCATGAGAATCATCAGTAATCATCTGATGATACATCATGTCCATCAAACATCCCATAGAGGGCTCACCAATATAATACAACCAATATGTTTTTCTACACCGGATGCTACGGAGACTCACAAGGTTACAAATCTCATTTGGTATCACTGATATATCTGTCATTCTTATCTCCAAAGTCTGCAAACCTTTTAGTTTTCCTATAGATCTCGGAATTCTATAAATCTTTGAATATGCTTTAGCACTTCCAATATTCAAATACTTCAAGTGGCGTAACAATCCTATGTCCTTGATATCTTTCTTTGTGATTCCGAAGTGTGCACCATGTAGATCCAGGACTCTAAGCATTCTCGTGCTAGGTGAAAAAGGGGGGGGCTGGTGGCTCTATGGGTCTCTCACCAAACATAGTTAATGACCTGACATGCCTCCAATCTATGCATTCCTTTAGGAACTTTCTACCATGGTATGATACATGACGAAAATTCTCCTCTGTCACACTAGTTACATTATCGTCCGCGGTCAAGTACACAAAATTTTCATCCCTAGCAATTGAAACCATGACATCACGCATGATATCATGGACTCGACAGCTCTTAACGGTTCCTTCCACATTCACTCTTGATGGTATAATCATGCTTCGGTTGATTAGTTCAATGAAATAACTTTTTCCAACATCCTCGATGTTTACCATACCCCTAGCTTTGATGAACCCCTCAGCTATCCATCTATCTACTAGAGGCCTTCTCTTAATTTCAAAATCCTCAGGAAAGATGCTTAGGTACAAAAAGCACGACTTTAGATGAGATGGTAGGTGGTTGTAGCTCAAAGTAACCATCCTCCTCATTGCTTCAAGGCTTGGGTTAGTCTCAAGCTCTGAAGGGAGATGATCATAAAATTGTCCCCACTCGGCTACCTCTTTTGTGGCAAGGACGCCACCTATCATGAGTATAGCCAATGGTAAACCACCACACTTTTTAACTAATTTTTCAACTATGTTCCCATCTCTCTCCATGTCTTCCTGCCTTTTCCTACTCTTTCTTAGTAATAAATTTGTAGCATCAACTGATTGTAGAGGTTTGAGTTGGTAGATATGTGAGTCACGAGAACACTCCTTAGCTAAGCCCATATCTCGTGTTGTTACTACTATGCGACTGCCTTTCCTATTATTGCTATCAACCGCAAATTCTTGGATCCACCTCCACATATCTATGGTCCACAAGTCATCAAAAACAATAAAATACCTTTCATCCTTGAGCTCTTCCATGAGGTACTTGGAGAGGTCACCCACTTGCACTGCCTTCCCTTTAAGTTCTTTCAAGCATTTCTTCAGTGACTCGGGTCCCAAAAGCTGCCTGATCATATCCTTGAGCATCTCTATCTTGAAAATTGAATGTGATACTGTGATCCAAGCAACACAAGAGAATTTTTGCACAATATCTTCCTTACTTTCATATGTCTTCCTTGCAAGAGTAGTCTTTCCTAAACCACCCATGCCGACAACACATATTACCTTGGGAGAACCATCTTCAGTGTTGACATCCATCAGGTTTATCAACTCCTCCTTAGGCTTGGAAAAGCCCACAAGTTTTGCTTCATCAATGTTGCTAGCCGCGTGATTGCGGACATCTTCGCTGTAGGAATCCACCTCCCCAACACTGTTGGAGGCCTCCGTCTTGATCAAGTTATAGCGTGTATTCCTAATGCTTACTTCTTCAACTCTGAGTTTGAGGTCACGGATCTGCATGGCGATCTGATGGCGGTCTTTGAGCTTCATCAGCTGCCGCGACAAGCTTTGGCTTCTCACATGCACCATGAATTCGCTAAGGCAATCTTCAATATTGTACGATAAGTCTCTGACCTGCTTCGCCCACACCTTCAGCAGAATGTCTTTCATCTCAATCGCTTCAGCAGTCAGCAGAAATGCCTGCATCGTCTCTAGCTCATCTTTAATGAACCTGCCAAACAAACATGCATAAGAAATGTAGGACAACAGTTGGTGTCGTCCAAGAGCTCGTATTATGCAGCAACGTGTAGGGAAATTTGCACCTCAGTAGCTCAGTGAATAGACTTTAGACCCGCCACATACATAAATGTAGCAATGCTGACGTCTAAAGGTCTAAGCAACTACAAACTTAATTACTCCCTTAAGTTGTACTAAAGCAGCGATAAATAATATGAATCGAAGGGAGTACCAGATATCCTTCCGCACACCCATCAGCAAGCTCATCTCGGCGGCGGCGGCGGAGGCGGCCTTGCAGATGGCACCCCCCAGCATGGACCTCGCCATGCTCACCGCCGTCCCTGCCATGTCCGGCTGGTTTCTCTCTTTGCTCTTGTGTCTTTGTTTTTCAAAGGCTCTCTTGCTTAAGTTGGAACTACTATTTGCAGATCACAGGTAGGGGGAGGCGCTTATATAGCAAATCGACCGAGCCCTGGCTGTGAACCAGGTCTCATCTTGTCATCTTTACCCGTAGCCGTTGCACTCCACTAATGAATGAGCCTATGCGATAATACGCATATCTTCATCCGAGTATGCAATAATGGTCCTTGGACGGCAACACACGAGCGACATGTAATTTTCTTTTCTCATTTGTTTCAAAATTCTTTCACTCGTGGCTTTTGTTCCCCTATATATCTACTCTTTGCTATGCGCGCGGGAACGAGTTTACCCAAGCCGCCGCTTAGAAGCCAAAGGGGAGGGAACATGTTAATTAAAAAGCATAGCCGAATAATCATTTAACAACATTGACTTGGTATTGTGGGTGTCCATTTTTTCATATAAACTTGAAATTTTGACTTTTTTTTTTTGAGAAAACTTTCAATCTATTCATCTTCATGGTAGTACAACGAACACTAGAAATAATAAAAATTGCATCCAGATCCGTAGACCACCTAGCGACGACTACAAGCACTGAAACGAGCCAATCCTTAAGGCAATAATTGTCCTTTGGACTATGACACACGAGCGACGTGTGTTTTATTGTTTGCCCCAAAATACTTCCGCTGAATTATTGTGGCTCGTGTTTTCGTGTATGTCTATTTGTTGTCCCACGAAAAAAGGAGAAATAATTGCAAGAAAGCTGCACACTAAAATAGCATCAAGGAAATACCAGCCAAAGATGAAAATTAAATGGCAAAGATGGACTTGTTAGCTTACGTGGAACAAATACACCCAATTGATATGATCATATACTCCCTCCGAGGGATCTGTCCTTGATGGATTTGCTCAGATCTGGTCATTGTTTATCTATGTTCGTGTGTCTTCAGGTTTGATCTACTCTATCATTAATGGGCGACGATCGTTATTCCGTTGCGCTGGTCTTATGAGACTTTAGCATGACGAATTCCCAATTGTCTACTACAATTGTCCTGCTATGACGAGGAAGGGGCGATGACGTTGGCATGATGGAATTGAAAAAAAAAACACTCAAACATTTTTTAAACTTTTGGGCAACATACATGGTCTAGCATAATACTCAGGGTAAAAGTTTCGGGACAAAATAATTTACGTCGTATCCCAACAAAATACGAAAGAATCAATACTATATAAACACTACTATTCACGATTTTTGTAGCTGCCCTTTCATATATTTTTTTTCCGCCCAGAATACGACATAGCTCATTTCGCCCCGAAACTTTTAAACGTGAGTATTATGACATAGCTCACTTCGTCCCAAAACTTCAAACATGATGCGCCTTAGCAATCGCTAAACCAACTCCGATATGGTTAAGGCAAACTGGTTATAAAATCAATCCCTGCATGTAACCAAAGAACAAGCAAGAATTTGAGATATGCAATTTGAATTGCGGGTATAACATGAAGTACTTAATCAACACTTATTAGGACCAGCGCCTTGAGCGAAACAGGGGTATTTATGTATCTTTGGGTGGACAGGAGGCCAAGACGGTCATGTATATACAGCACTTTGGACAAAATAAGGGTATGTATGTATCTCTAGGTGGACAGGAGGCCAAGATGGTCATGTAAATACAGCATTTGTTGTATAGTATTAGTGGAGGGCAGTATATGATATAGTGTAACAGCAGCAGTAGAGTACTTGTTCCAAAAAGGCAGCAAGGATGTGCAGGATTGTGGCGCGAAAGAATCGCAAATTCAGAATGCAATTCCTAAGATTTACTCGATAAATCCTCAACTAACGACTGCTACTGTATAAAAGAATTCATTTGCTGGGATTCTGTTCAAGTAGGCCCAGAATTCGTTGACTGGATCTGCTGCTTGCCGAAATATGCTCACTTAATTATGACAGGCAAGAGATACATACAATGTCTTCTAGAGTAGGAGTGTGTCCTATTGGGGATTAAGAAGGAATTCCAGAGCCAAAATCTTAGTACCTTGAGGCGGCAGCGCAGCCGAGTCATTCGATCCAACCAATACCTGGCATAGTTGAGAGCTTTGCTCTGCCGCCCCTCCCTCGACGGCAGGGGACGACTAAACAGAGCATGCAGCTAGCGGTCGAGCAAAAACAGAGGAAAAAACCTCTGTTTGTGGAGCTGCCAGCACTCTGTTTTTCCCTGAAACCTCTGTTCAAGAAGTAGCTTGTGTATTTTCAGAAGCTTGCAACTTCTTGTCCAATACAATACACCCACCGTCCATTGTTTCTCCTCTAACATGAGTATGTTCTGAACCCCCAACATAAATAAACACAACTAATATGCAGCAGCATGTGGGTTGAGGTACTGCAGCATATAGATAAGTAGTACATCTCTTCAAGCTAAAACTAAGAAGAAACATAAACTTTATTGGCACATGTAATTCGCCATGCTAGGTAGAGTATTCTCTTCCCTGGGATGGACTGCAGCAAACAAGTCCCATCTATCTGCCCTTACATCATCTTCCACTTGAGACCAAGAAGCAGAAGCTGAACGCTGCCGGATGTCTCCCGCAACTAAAATTCTGATGTGTCATGGCATAATACTCAGTTCTACACCTGCCTACTGCACCAATAGGAGCACACGGAACTGAGTTTAATCTGTGCACCAATGACCAGATGGAGCAGAGTTTGTGGAAGAAACGTGAACCTTAGATTGGCAGGATGATAGGTAGTATCCGTAACGCTAGGGCTAGAACAAGTAGGAAATCTGAACATTTTTTATGTTCTCACACCCCTAGCTGTTGTCAAGCAAGATCTTAGCTGGATGCGAAACACGGTGTTGCATGCTATCTAAAACTAATAACCCTTAAAATTGTTATTGTTTGCACAATGGTGTAAAGCAATACAGCTCGCAGGCACTTATAATACCGTCAATGGAATCATCACAACCTTAACAGTAAAACATGACGCACTTGGCATCTTTCCTTCTGGGCAGGGAGAGGCCCGACAGCAACATTCCCAAAAGCCCTGGCGCCGCATGAACCGCAAGCAACAGACCGGTCAAGCCCAGAAGGCTGCCAGATGTGCATAATACGCTGGAGGAACTGCAATTGTCAGCGTTCAGTTTTACAGCAAGGTGTCTAGCATGAGAAGCTAAAGAGGAAACACTTTTCACATGGGGAGTTTACCGATCGATACAGGGCGGGTGCACCCAGCATACCTGAAACAGTAGGAATTTTCTATTTAATTGGCCGGATAAACAGCACTACATTCTAATTATCAAAAGGTTAGATGGAACAGTAAGTTACGTGTAGCACAAGTTGTTTGTAAGAGTTTCCAACTCATCAGTGGTAAATTTGATCTCGTCCCATAGAACATGATAATGAAGTAGGCCAGCTGGTCCCCTGAAAGGAATCGACATTTGAATCAGCAATCTGCTCATTCCATCGAATGAACTGCAAATAAAGAAGGGCCAACCTGAATGCCAGCATGGCTACATATGTAGAAATCAAAGTCCAACAGATGGCAAATCTTCCAACTCGATAACAGTGCATAGAACTATAAAAATAAATATGGTCAGGTTCAAAATTGAGCTAAACACAAGAAACTTGTTTGCACAAGCAACTAACCAGGCAGCATGTTTCCTGCTTCTATCAACAATATGTTTCCCATCAATGGCAGTGAAAGCCGGCAAGGATCTCCAAGGTCGGCACCGGTAAGAGGATAAGAATTGGAGAGCATCACCGGCAAGAAAGACGCGAGCAGCATCAGCATGGTAGGAGCACAGCAGATCAGCTAGGCTTCTCCATTGGTTCTGCTATCGACAGTGCCCTCCGCTTCCGATCATCCTCCAGGAACAAGGGGCCCTCACGGTCCTCCAAGGCTCTCGAATTCAATGCCATCACCCTTGACTTCCTATCAGTCCCTATCCTAAAATACACCGGTGGCCTCTCCTTTGGAACTATCCTTTTCCGACATCGACCTTGGTCCCTCCTCCCCTCATCAAGTTTTTCATCCTCTGATTGTGTGAAAGTGGGTGCAAAGTTCTCAAGGGCAGAGTGTTTCTTCCCCAAATTTGGCACGGCAACCTCTGGCACCTCCTTCTCCCCATAACACAGTGCCGACTGAATAAACGGATTGCTCTTGACCACAGCCCTATCTAGCTCCTTCCCCTTGCCAGCACCCTCCTCCACCACCATCGCCGGGCGGATCCCGTTGCCACCCGCGAGCGCCAGCTGCCGCTGCAAACCAAGCAGCGACTTCTCGGCCTTCCTCTGCCGCCGCACCTGCTCAACCTCATCCACCACAGCCGACGACCCCCCGACCATCTCGCCCGACTCCTCGGCCATCGCATACGTATGGGGCTCCGGAAAGGCCGGGAGCCACTCCGGCACATGCCTCATCCCGCTCCCCCGGCCCAGCGACGCAAAGCTAACACACGGCCGCGACGGCGGCGGATCATGCCGCACCGGAAACCTGGGCAGCCGCTGCCTCACGGAGAGCGGCTTGTCATCGGCATCACCAGCGAACGCGACCAAATCCTTGACGACGCCGGAGCCGACGAGGCAGCCGCGGGTAGAGGAGGCGCCCTCGAAGCCCTGGTACGCCTCGCCGGTCTCCTCCAGGAACTGCAGCACGTCGAGCTCGTTGGGGGCGGAGCGGCCGGCGTGGTTGGCGTGGGCGTTGGCGGCGCCGCCGAGGAGGCGGAGGTAGAGGAGGAGGACGTCGGCGAGCGCGTCCACCGCCGAGCGGGTCGCGGAGGCGAAGCCCGCCGCCTGCAGCGTCCGCGCCACCGCGGCCCTCGCCGCCGCCCGACCGAACTCGTCGGCGCCGCCACCGGCCATGCCTCCACGCGCCCGCGCGGGCGGATCCGGGGCGGGGTTGGGTGCTAGGGTTGCGGGTCGCGCCGCCGCCTCCGCCGAATCGAGGGGGAGGGAGGTCGCATCGATCGATCCGACTGATGATCGAGGGGTTTGGGGGAGGGGGATTTGAAGGCGGTGGCCTGAATTTGGTAGGGAATCGATCGAGGTTTAGTTAGGGTTTGGACCGTTAGGGGCTGATGATTTGCTTTCCCCGTCGTGCACCTGCGGCCTGCGGGAGACGTGAGCCGACACGGAGGGGGTGCGGACCCTGATAAGCTGAGGATATTATTGTCCTGCTAACCATCCAAACAAAGGTTGGTTCGTGCTGACATAGACGGTTGATGTGCCAACTTAAGAGAAGATTATTCAGATTGTCGAATAATTTCAGAATTTTTTAAATTGTCTAAATATTAGGTTATATTCTAGTCTCCCCCATTTTCTTCCCCATCCAATGATACTGACCCTCCCAGAGCCGCAGATCTCCCGTCGGATGAAGCCAGCTCCTCCTAGCCCAGTCGCGGTCACCCCACCCGTCTACATGTTGCCGGATAACGAACATGTTCCATAGATAGTGTTAGGCTGACATTTTGATGAAATGTACTGAACTATGTACTTTGCTCAAGTTGGCAACGAAAATGTAAGCATTTGTCGAAATTGGTAATGAACTATGGTGTGTCTACAGTTGACCAAAATCGGCGAAGTGGACAAATGGGTGAAATTGAGGGCTGCATTTATGGTACCTACTAGGTAAGCGGTTCTTATTCGAAGAACCCTTGCCTTTTGTTTAGCTCAAGACTAAATCATCGTGGCTCTAGTATGAATCTAAGATTTTAGTTGAATTGGTTCATAGGATCACAAAAGATAATTTCTATATTACACAGGATCCTAGCTGGATGTGAAAACATGATGCCATGGCATGTAAAGCCAACAGGGGTTTTTCACTTAAAATCGCTACTCCACAGGTGGTAATCATTGGCATGGATTATACACGCAATGCCAGTGGTGGTCAGTGTAAAGATGTACTCCTTTCTGATTTTGCTAACATTCTATCTATCTTCACCAATGCTAACTTCAATTCTGGAAATATAAGCCTACAAAATTATCAAGAGTATGCAGTCGTTTGCCAGTGTTCTATTCTTTCACTAGAAATGCTTTCATACAGACAACCCTAAGAATCTACTGTTGTATGCAACCATGCAAGACAACGAAGACACATGCCAGCAAATGATTCCATGACACAAGTTCATAAATATTTCAAACACCAGTCATACAAATGTAGATGGCTACGCAGATATCTCACAAGGCACAGCCGCAAAAGCGGAAGCTTCTCGCAGCACCACAGGAGCAGCACAACAGGTAAATGACACCCAATCCAGTCAAATAGCTTAAAAGGTTTGTGCACCGGTCGCCAAGCTGGTGCAAGTACTTAGAATACCCTAGGCAAGCAATAAAACAGAGTACAACAGATACTTCGATATAGGTTTGCACAATGGCGTTGAACATGCCGGAGTACCCTCACGGTAACCACCCGGATCTTATCTTAGCAGTAAAACATGACACGCTTGACGTTTTCCTTGAGGGCAGGGAGAGGCCTGACAGCAACATTCCCGAACCTGGTGCTACTGCGTGGACCGCCCTGTGGAGGACCGCCACGTGCACCGCTAGCCACAGACCCGCTGTCAGAGGTGTCCGGCTCCATGTAGAACCGAGCCCGGAAGGCTGCCAGATGTGCATAATATGCAGGAGGAACTGCAGGCAAGCAAACAACCGATGGTTAGAGTTGGACTTTTAACAGCACTGAATCTAGTACGAGAAGCTTGAGGAAAATGTTGCTCGCAATAGATAGGGGAGTTTACCAATTGACACGGAGCGGGTGCATCGAGCATAGCTGAAACAGGAAAAAGTTAATGTTTGATCAGCCAATGTAACAGTAGTGAGCTTTAATTATTATAAAAGTGCATGATAGAACAGAAAATTACGTGTAGCACAAGTTGTTTGTGAGAGTTTGCAACTCATCAGCAGTAAATTTGTTCTCGTCCCACAGAACATGATAATGAGCAGGCCGGCTTGTTCCCTGAAATGAATCCACACTCGAATCAGCAATCTGCACATTTTGTCAAATGAACACATTGCAAATGAAAGCTAACCTGAATGCCAGCATGGCTGCACAAGTAGAAGTCAAATTCTGTCGGATGGCAGATCTTCGAATCAACAACGGTGCCTGGAATTAGGAAGCATAAAAATGGTCAGATTCAAATCTCAACCAAGAACAAAAACCTTGTTTGCACAAGAAACTAACCAGGCAGTATGTTCCCGCTTCTGTCGACAGTACGCTGATCATTGTGATTGTTAGCAAAAAGCCTAGTGTGATGACGCTTCTGGACAACCACAAAGGTAACTGGAGGCTGATAATTGGGCTCCAAGGATGCACAGGCCTAACAACATAGTTAAGAAATGTCACTCAGAGAAAAATGTGGAATATTACCAACCAAAGTATGGTTAAACCCCTAGGAGAAATGTAGTCAAAGCAATTGTACCTTCCGAATGGCATCAAGTTCAAACAACAGAACCTGGTAGAACTGTCCCTCGCTGACACCATCCCTGAAAATACCAGTTGTTTAATAATAGGCAACCACGTTTTAGCAAAGATGCACAAGAAAGGCTATGAACCTGTAAAATATGATTCTCTGAGGTTTCTGTCCAGTCGCCCTCTTGAAAGATATGAGAAGCTCCCTGCAAAATTTAACAGAAATTACACTTTTAGCAGCATCCAAGTATAGAGTTAGTATGTTTCCTTAGCTCACTAAGAGCTTACTTGATCATGCCGCCAGTAACAGTTCCTCTTTGGGGATCTTGCCATACTTTAAAAAGATCCTGTATCAGCTCTTGCCTATGGGCTTGGGCACTCACTAATCCTGCGTACTTGGTTATCTCAGGCCAGTCTTGAGAAGCAACCACCTAGAGAAAAGAATATTATCAAACAATCAATAAAACCACAGAACTTCCAACACACCTAGAAAATTGTGGACCTTCAATTACATCTCAAGACATCTTTATAATGACAAGTCACTTACAGCTGCAATGGAAGGGCTAGAATCTTCTCCAGGGTGAGGATGTGTAACATCAGCACCAAATATTATGGTCGGTCTGTCGGTAACAAGGCGAATCCTCCTTGCCAAAGCATCCACAAGAACAGTATTCCTTCCCCCCACCTGAAAAGTAGGAAAACATATAAACAACAAGGTCTATTATAGAGAATGAATGGTTGGAGGTCAGTGAAGTACCTTAACATTGATTTTGAGAGCTACATTAGCAAGATACTGCTTGCTCATCTTAAAAACATGTTTTGTAAGACAACACTGGGATACCAATCCAAGTTCAGTCTCGCAAATTCTTTTAAGGTCCCCTGGAGAAAAAATAATAAGCAAAAGTATGCACATGGGAATCTTCAAACGTGCTTTGGAAGAGATCATACCATAAAGAGAACCATTATTATCCGGCAGTATAACAATTAGCAGGTCAAGTTCTTTGCCCGGGGGTTTGCTTGCGTTCATGGCATCATGATAACGTGCCTTCAGTGCTCTTTCCACGTGTTCAGGCCTCGCACTAAGTACGGGCAGCACAGGTTCAGGTGCAAAGTTCTAAGACATAGAAAAAGAGAAGTTGATGACTACAGAATGCAAAATAACCAAAGCGACAGAGAAATATGAGAAGGTAGTTGCATGATTGAACCATACCATTCCAGATATTTGGCACATTATAGCCAGCTCATGACAGAAAACCTTGGCAGCATTATCTTGCACATTCCGGGAGAAGTTAATACATGCCCAGTGGCTGACTCTACCACCATTGACCATTTTCTACTCACCAAAATGAACAAGTATGAGAACTAGTTAAAACATAACATCAGAAGATGAGGGGGTAAATGGGTTGAAGAAACAATGCTAATGGAGGGCATCCCGCCCAAATAGTATGGTTTTGAGATGTGCACATTCTGTTAAAATTATCCCATGTGAACCTAGACAGTCTTCTAAAAAGTGAGAAAGAAGAACAGCAGCAAACTTATGATACAATTAGTATTTATGAAAGCTGCATGTTGCAAAGAGGTTGATATTCTTGCTACTGTATTGATAATTCATTGAGCAGACTATTGCAGAAATAATTTCCAGCTCAGATGGTTAATTGTTTACCAGTTGTTTGGTTCGTTGCCATTTCTATTTTTATTTCACATCATTTATTTATCTATGCATGGCTTTGTTTAAAAATTATTTCAGTAGAACTCTTCCGTTACATCACCAAGACCTACCTTGTTCATCATGTTCCATTGGCCGACCCTGGGTAAGACATCCTTCTCTCTGCCACTATCATGGTACTTAAGCTATAAAAAAGAGCATGCAATCAGCTGCTATGCACAGATATGAAATCAACTGCTGTCTAATCGCAATAGAAAATTGACTTACCCTTGGCGGAGGCAGAACACGAGCTTCAACCGATGCAAGTTGCTCATCAATTTTTATGCCAAATTCCTGTGCATATGGATCTTCGTAGTATGCATTGTGATGCACAGTCTGGTTAAATGAAGACAGACAAAAAAGAGATTTAAACGCTTAAGTTTAAAAGGATAATCCTGGTGCAGATAACAGTGATAATACCTAAAGCATTTGACATAAGACAGATATAAAGGGTCATAAACTCATAATAGTTTCCACCATAACAACTGACCCATCAAGGCATCAACAACTATCATCCTCATCAAGAAACTACCATCTATTAAACTATACTTGTGCAGGAATCCTAAAAAAACATACAGATGCTTTAACTGCAATAGCATAAACTAAATACTCCAAACATCAAATGGGAAGAACTCTGTAAACATGATTGACTGGGGAAAACATCAAACAGCTACATAAACACATATATACAAGCGTACAGACACAGCATGTCATAATTTTGCAGCAACAATGTTACAGCAATTTGCAACA